CTGTATCGGTCCCATAGTTGTCGCTTGTTATCAATTTCCTTGAAATGTGCTGCAGTAATCCATGGCTTTTGCTGGTTCACTTTTATTGATCTTAATGGAATATACCTTTCTATAGCCTCATTAATAATTCTTTGATAGTTGTCAAATTTTGATTGTTCTGCATTAACCTGCTGTTGTCTGATATAACCATTTATTTGCTCATATTTTGCAGTGCGAAAATTTCTTTTTTGAATCTTATGGGTTTGTTTCGGCGGTAATTTTATCTGGGCTCTCGCTGTAATAACAACATGGTCACTTTGCCCAACTGGTGGCTCAGATCGAATGTCAAAAATACTTTTTTTATCGCTGCTCAAAAACAAGTCCAAAAGGGAGCTTTGACTATTCCTAAATCGAGTTGGGAAGCTTATTAATTGGTATATGTTACTTTGATTATACATATCCATAAAATCCTGTGCCCTCTTGTCAGCCGGTATTACCCCCAGGGTATCCCAGTTTATGTTGGGGTAGTTGAAATCACCTAGTATAATGGTTGGGTTTTTGCATGCAAATGCCTTACCCAACTGGTTAATCAATTGTGCATTAATTTGTTCTGTTGTAGTGTTTCCTGGCCTATATATGCATGCAATGAGAAATTTGATTTTTTCTATCTTTAGGTCTAGCCATATTGCATCAACTGGTGCATCTATGGGATAGTTCTGGGAAAGTGCACAACTAAGGTTATATCCATTTACTACATTCTTAACAAGTATACACGATCCCCCTCCTCTCTGATGCGGCCTGTCTGCTCGAAAGATACTGTAACCTTGTAAATTTATTATGCTGTCAGTTACACCATCAGTAAGCCAGGTTTCCGTTAGCATGATTATCGTAGGGCATGTTATTAGTACCCTTGCCTTCCACTCATCGACTTTGTTCAACATAGAACTCATATTTGTGTACCAAAATGTGATTTCAACTACCTCGACTGTACTTAGTTTTTTGCTACCTTTTCGACTATTTTAGGGGTTCCATTTACATATCTAATTATTAAATTTAATCTACCTTCTGCTTTTTGCTTCTCCAAATCTGCCATTATCTGCTTTAAGTACCTCCGTTGAGTTTCTGTCTTATCAGATTTAATGTAGACATTATCCACCCTTTCTTCTAAATTTTTCTTGCTTTTGAGCACTTTTATCGCTTCTTCTTTGCTGGGTAGAACGACTTTTATAGGTCTTTTCTTGTCAGGCATCTCCCTTCCCAGTCGAAAGATTTTAGCTTCCTCGGGCAAACTTAAATTCATTTTTTTGTACAGAAAACTAACCTTGTCTTTGTCATCCTTTTCTGATTCATCCACGCCGAAAAAAAGGATGTTACTGGCTCGAATCTCTCTCTCCTTCATTTCTTGTAGGGTTTCCTCAACATCTGATTCAGATCCTTTGTCCACCGGGATTTTTATGGTCTCCACCTTTTCTTCAAGCTTCTTCAGGGCTTCAGCGTAACTCTGCCCCCCAGAAATTTTCCGATCTACCTGTTCTATTTCCCTACTCAAGTTCAATAGCTCGCCCTTTAAAGTTTCATTTTCTCTTTTTCTCCTTTCATTAGACCCTTTAAGGCTGTCTACTGCTTCTTTCAGTTTTTCCAGACTGTTGGCTGTTTCTTGGGTTTGTAGTACGGTTTTTTTCATTTTTTTCTGTACATCAGGAAGCATTTTAATTGCATCCTTGCAACTAGGGCAAAGAAAAAGTGTTGTTCTAGATACACTTGGAATAATTCGAACTTCTCCTGCTAATGCACCAGTACATTCGCTACATATTATTTCTTTACAGAAATCACACGGAAATCCAAATAATTTTCCTTTTTCCTCCCTTAAAACACAGGGTTTAGTGCACTTGTAACAGTCCTGCTGTGACATTCTAACCCCACTAAGTTTTTCACTCAAAAATAAAGTTTTTGGAAAAATATTATTGCCTCCCTATTTATTGACGTCTTGTAGAAATCACTGGTATTTAAAAAAAACTAAAAAGTCCCAAAGAAACTTGGATTAATTCGGATTTTAGTTAGGCAAAATTTTTGTAAACAATAACAAGATGGCTAACCTCACCATAAAATTACAATTAGAAGAATATAGGTTTCTTTGCTCATACGATAGAAAGACTGGAATTTTTCGTCGTTTGCCTGTAATTCTCTAGCAGCTACAAAATTCTACAATTTTTATTTCTTTCTATGGATGGATGAACGTCATGGATGACCCCATAATCTCCTAATGCTGCGCTTGTATCTTGGATTATAATAATATGAAATAACTTCTTTCTCCTCATCGCTCGACATTTTGCATACACTAGTCCCGTCCCCTCGTGTACGAGAATTGAGTATCCAACTAATTTGTAACGTCTCTACTCAGTTTCGTCGTTTATGGGTAGCTCCATGTGCGACGGGCCTTTTGGCCGTTTGCACCGACCATTTTAAAATGGTCGGTGCAAACGCCCAGTAGTCAACAATATCAGTTTTAGGTAAGTCTATTCCTACCTACATCAAACTTAAAACAATGAACAATGCCCATTAACAGCATTTGAACTTGGAACCTGTTAGCAGTTGGCATCTAATATCTACACCGGGGCCCTAGCACAAAATGAACACCTGATATAACATTTTGGATCGAAAACTATACTAGGTATTCTCAAGTATGCATTTGATAACGACACATTGAAAATAGAGTAAAATCTAGCCGTTCGTTTTTTTATTCTACACAATTGATCGAATTAAGTTATTTGCGACTTTTTCTGAATTAACATTTCTTTGTCGTTACCATTTTGTGTAAAACGCTGTAGGAACTTTAGTGCCACATTTTAAGAAGACACCAAAACGCTTAAAACTTAGAGTAGAAACTTTTAATATAAATGGGCTAATCGAGGAAATATAAACAAATATGTTAAAAAAAAATCAATATCTCAAAGTCCAAAAAAGCCAATTATGACAACCCATAACTCAAAAACTGATCATAGGATTCAGTTGTGCCCTAGGTTGTGCCCATGAGAACTTTTAATCAGGACATCGAGGACTACATTATAACAAGTTTTCAAAAAACCGAAAGCCATTTTCCATAAGAAATGTGCGAGGTCCTTTGCACTCATGCGTTTTTAACTGAAAAAGGCACTCGTGCACTACGTGCACTCGTGCTCTTTTTCAACTAAAAATGCATTCGGGCAAATTTCCCAAAAATTATCAATAATTTCCATTGCACTAGTTATATTACTATTGAGAATTTCATACATCTGTCAAATCTGGTATTCCAACAATAAATTGATATGTTTTGATTGTTGATTTGAACCAATCAGATTATAATTACGCGATAATTTGCACTAGTGCAAATTACCAGATAATTGCATACTAACTGGTGCGAAAACTGGTGTTTTGACATTTTTTGACAAAAAATTTAAATTTTTGATTTATGAAATTCTCTCATTATATACAACTCGTGCAATGGAAATATATTTATAATTTTCGACAAATTTGCACTCCTGCGTTTTTAACTGAAAAAGGCACTCGTGCTCTTTTTCAACTAAAAAATTTACTTTTTGGCGTATTTTTTGCTCCTCTATCCGATAGAATTTTTTATTTTTTTTGAAATTCGATATTTGAATTTTTTGACAATGCAAGGCATGCAAGGACTAGTACCTACGCATTACGTGGACGGGTTAGTTTGGGCTAGTTTGCATATTTTTGGTTAGTTTCATTATAGTTTATTTAATACTGGATATAAGTATACTGGATTACTGGTAAACTGGTACACAAGTAAAAAAACAATCCAGACGAATAATAATATAATAATAATCCGGAAATTCCGAGCTAATAAAATAGCTATTACCGAATAGCATCACCGAACTCCGCTACGCGTCGTTCGGTGAACGGCAGCCGCGTGCGGAAAAATTCATTTTCCGCAAGTGTTAGGTACAATATTTTTCCTACAGGCGAAAAAATGTAAAATTTTTCTTTTTTTTTTTGACATATCAGTGCGGTAAAATTTTTTCCGCACTGACAGCCGTGCGGAAAAACTTTTTCCGCACTGATATGTCAAAAAAAAAAGTTTTACCGCACCGTGCGGGAAAACTCATTTTCCGCACGCATATCATTGTTAGGGATGTGCGATGTTTATCGATTATTGAAAAACATCGATGTTCAATACCCGATGTTTCGACATCGATGTTGAAATTTTAAAACATCGATGTTATCATCGATGTTGGCTGTAAAAATCGACTATAAGAAAAGGGTTTAAGGATGAATTTTACTTGCACTAGTTTTGCAAATGAAAATCGCTACGCAGGTCTCATAGCGAATTACTAAAATTGCATACAAATTCTTGGTAGTTGTGGCCCACCTCAGTCTCATCAGAACGCCTGTTTTCCAAAGCTGGAAAAACGGTCACACAACAAAGAAACAGGATAAAGGATAAGTTATTGTCGAAATTACTTTTTCTTCAAGGTATCGACAAGAGTTACTGGGACATTTGAACCTTAAATTTACCTGAATATTCTATTCTACATACTATTTTGTTTAGACTTTAGACTGTAGGAAACGTGATTGTTTTTATTAACTTAACAAGAATAAACTTTTTTTTCATTTTATTATTAAACGTTCTGTTAAAATAGAAATTTTCCATGTTTTCTCTATGTTACCCTCAAAACATCGATGTTTGTAAAATATCGATGTTTTCACTTCGATACATCGGTTGCATCGATGTTGAAGTATTGATGTTACCATCGATGTCCAACATCTAAATCTGTGCTCGATGTCGCATCCCTAATCAGTGTGGAAAATCGATTTTTCCGCACGGCTGTAGGAAAAGATATATTCAACCGGAAGATCCGGGTGATCAGAGACACCCTTTGGTAATACATGTTTTGTTTTATTTGATGTTCCGTTCGATTTATATGCCTCCCAAACTGAACAGGATTTCAAGTTTGAGGCATACAAAAATTGAAAAATTTGTTGATACTATGTGCATTTTACAGCAAGAAACTCACCAATATTTTGCACTGTTCGATTAGGTATTTGTTGTATTCCACACTCAGTTTTGACTTTGATAGGCGGGTTAGTAATTCTTGGAAAAATAGTTGGAACAGCTACTACAGACAACGATTTTCCACCATATCTACTGAGTGAAAAGTGTTTTGCCGCAAAATGCAACTCGCATATTTTGAATCTGTTATTCAATTCGCAAGTAGCTAGATCCAAAAGGTCTTCTCTGTTGCATGCCTTTAGCCAAACTTTAGACCTAAAACCAATACCAATAGAATGTTCTATATAATTTTCGCTAATTACTTTTGAAGGTCTGCAAAGACGAAATATTTTAGGTATCTACTGATTTTTTTTCAAATTTTTTGTTGACATAACGATACCAATATTCTAATAGGACGTATCCCACAACTTTTGGGATTTAGCGTTTTCAATGAATATGAGTTCAATGGGTCTTTAATTCTAGTATATCGTATGAAACATTCTGAAAATATTATGGTATATATATATATATATATATAATATAGTCAAGCTTCCTTCGAATACTTAAAAAAATATACGTTTATTTCACCTCCTGACAAACTTTGGATTTAGGGGTTACGTCCTATCTAGAATATTGGTATCGATAAGTACCTTCTAGGTCCAGGAAAACTGAAAAATTTTATATCCGTTCTTTTTCCTCCTGGACCCTTCCACAACGAAGGGCAGTTGGGCACAACACATGGTAAACATTTTCTTTTTGTTAAGAATAAGAGCTTGGGCATTTTCAATTAAAAAGAATATGAGTTAATTGGAGTTCAATTTTAAAAAACAGTTCAAATAATTTATTTTTATTTTTATTAGCAAAATAACAAATAGTAGGATGACAACGACTGACATAAGAGCTACTTTTAGAGTGCGTTCGAAATCAGTCTGGGCGTCACACCGAGTGCACACCAGGGTTGCGTTTAGGAATAGCATTCTGGGTGTGAGAGTGACCCTAGAGTAACTCTAAGCCGTTCATAAATTAACAGGTGCTTACTCGGAGCGTTACCCTGGAATCGTTCAGAAATCGAGAGTTGACGTGCCCAGAGTGCGCCCAAATTACCCCACTCAGGAACTGGATTGAAAAACGCCCTGCGGTTTTTACCGGGTTTGACGAGATTGTTTATTTTTTGCCAGGTTGTAATTAAAATTCACTAATTTGTTGTTATAGTCCTTTTCTTTTGGTTTTTTACGGTTTTCTGTGATTGTTCTATCATAGCGGGGTTTGGCTATTCAGCACGGAGTTGGAATGGAGTAAGAACAGATTTTTGTCACGTGATCTAGGAGTGATTAGAGTGAAAAATTAATACACGAATGATATGTTTTATTCCAAAACTACAGTCAACTGTGACTTTACAACGTTCCGGGTTTCCAATTTTCTTTTTCAGTTTTGTCTTTGCTCTTCCGTGTACTATAAATTAACTTCAATCCCTCCACAATGGCACAATAATGAATATGTGATGCTTTTGCATCTGTTTAACTTTGTCAAGGACATTTTCCCATCATGTTAAATAAATTTTAAAATCAGATCAATTATTTTACTCGATGATTTCCCGCATCCACAATCCACACATAAACGATTTTTAATTTTTTTAACAACAACCACAACGTGACCTGACAACACTGTCACTCACAACACAAGCTTGATAGTTTCCACATTTCACTTCTGCGCATGCTTACTCTGAAAAATTCTTTTTCCGAGGTGGAACTTTTGGAGTGTGCTCCATGTACTCCACTCCATATAGTGGAACGCTGATGGAGTCACCCCAAAAAGCAATACCTGAACGGCTAGAGTGCGAATGAAGTCACTCGGAGTGAGCAAGCCGAACCCACCTCATATATTAGAACAAACAAACACAAACGTCACAACTTCGCCACGATTACGCCGAAAAGTTCAACAAAACCCAACTTTTTGCCGTAGTGGCAGCGTAATGTCAAAAATTCAAGATGGCTGCACTGCCGCCAATGAAATCGTACAAATTAAATCACGTGATTAGTTACGCTTACGTCAATTACGCCCGTGGGGTCTCGCCCTTAGCGTAACACCCTAATTACGTTCAGAAAAGGCGCACCTAGATTGCACTCCAAGTGATGACGTCAGAACACTCTGACAAATAACTACTCTACCTTCACACTACATTTCTAAACGCACTCCAGCCGTTCGAAACATATGTCAAAATTGAATAACGCGCGCATTCGGATAGAATTTTCGACGCCAAAAATTTTGGTGATATTGACAGATGTCACTTTTCAAATTTAACATAGTGTGCCGTCGAGTAATAAAATTTCTCCATATCAAGGGAAAAAAGTATATATTCGTATAGATTTGACCTTGAAAAATCCGAAAAAAATATTGAAAAAATTCTCACGTCAAATTTGACAGCTGTCAATTTCAAAAATATGACAAGGAGAAATAAATTTCAAAATTTTCCAACGTAGTACACTTCATTTTTTCAATTAATTTTTAAATCACCTGTCAAAAAAAATTTGACAGCTGTCATGCGACCGGAATCTGTTTTGATAGGGTCGTTTGCCTTTCTCCTCGCTTTACTATACAAGCTACAATCACCAAACTTGGTGCATAACTATTATTCGACTTGGGCTACCTGTCAGTGTCAAAAAAAATCGACGAAATAGATGACGAAAACGAACACGGCCTCTGCCGCTGATGGGTAAATTTCACTCCTGTCATTTTTGTCAGTTTTTCAATAGTTAAAGCTACATCCTCAATCAATCTGGTAGCGAAGTGGCACTTCGGCACGCGTGCTGAAAAATTGATACCCATTCTCAATGCTGTCAATTTTTGTAATAGTAATTTAATGTACTGCGCATGACACAAGTCGGCACGCATCGAAAAAGGTTGCAGGTTGCAGCTTGCAAGCATGCAATTCGTAGTCGGCGTTCATGCTAGCACGAAATTGAATTGAGGATGCCAACGTTAAACAACATTGTCCTAGCATGCGTGCCGAAGTGCCACTTCGCTACCAGATTGATTGAGGATGGGCCTTAAGGGCCAAATTATGGACCAACTGGTAAGTGTCTGGTTATTACCTAGCAGGTACTTTCTATTCTCTAGTGCATAGAAAGTACCTGATGCTAAGTAACAATAACCAGACCAGACGTTTACCAGTCAGTCCATAATTTGTCCCTAAATCTACTAAAAACTAAAAACCGAATTTTCGCAACGAATGTAGTTCATCCAAGGACGAACCATAGTTTGTCTTGGGACGTCATGAGTTTGAACGCTGGCTAGAAGCTGCGTCCATGCTTCCGACGAACTACTTTCAATATGACGTAGATAATGAGTTTCTCGCGAAAGCGTTTGTGAAATCATCGAAGTAGTTCGTCGCGAAAATTCGATTTTTACTTTCAGATTAGTCAAATTTATTTATTCCCTTTTCCGTTTCTCGGAAGTTGTTGTTGATGTTAGGTAGGTACTAGGCACAAACAGATAAATGAAATGCACAGAGCACTGGGCCTAAAGCCGTTTTCGCGCGTTCACTTTTGTGATATTGGTTTAAAACCGGTTTGAAACAGTCAGTGGAATTAATGGAAACAGCATTGCCCGTTTCAAACCTGTTTTGAACCAATGTGGAAGCGTTTGAAAACACGCCGATAAAAATATACTCTTCTGACCACGTGACCGGCCATATACCCACTCTCAACCTGCAGTAAAATTTAACCCTTTTTCGAACGCACCCTACTTTCTTTCAAGTGACCCATTCGAACGTCTCGAACTACTCCGGAGTAACTCAAGATTTGACTGCACCATTCACTGCTTGAAATATCATGGGTACACTGGCGTATTCCAAGGATAATACCACTGATCTCAAAAATAAATGGATAAACAAAAAACGCTTCCAATGGACCAATGCTGCTAATTTACGAGGTCATAATTCAAACAAATGGGACAGCTGTGAGCGTGCGCAAAATATTGTCAATAAAAATGAAGGATATTTCTTCTTCAAAAGATAAGACACTGCCCAGGCGTTAGGCTGTTCCGTTGCACAACTGTTCGTAGAATATTGACCACAAATTTTCGCACAAGTTTAGCCAATCAAGCAATACGAATACGATTGTTTATTCATTTTTTTTTTGAGATCAGTGGATAATACACACTTCTACAGGTAGACAGCTTATCCTCATAAAGCCTGTATAGAAAATCTCAAGCCCCCACCACGCTAAAGAACCAGTGATGACGTAACAGCGTGTCGTTCTGGCCTTGTTGGCCTTGACGTCCTGTAGTAGTGTGTAATATCCTTGATGTAGCCTAGCTGAGTTCAGAATAGACCTATCTATTTTACCAGACAAAGAGGTAATAATACGCGAAAACTTTATTAGATAGAAAAAGACGCATAACGCTTTATTGCGCAAGAAGAGGCCAAACGTATCAAATTATGTTAGACTTACGTATAGCAAATCCGTTCTTATTATTTGCACGGGATAAAAAAGGAAGGAGGAAAACCGCGTGATGTGCAACCTATTTATCAATCAAAAACACAAACAATTGAACATCGATCACTTGTCAAGCTACGTCAAGTTGAATATCAAGCATAATTATTTTATCCTTGTCAGACCACGGGCAATGAACAAGGACAAGGAGATACCCAGCATGCAAAAAAGTTACTTCACACCTGTACTAGTTGGCCAATAAAAATGCATTGCCTCGTGTTGCGCGCGCATACTTTGTCACGTGTTCTAGAGTACCAAAAAAGCTCACGAAAATGCGAACCAGTGCAACAGTCACTTGAAATTCGTGAAACTCATATTTCATAGCATAGAAATGTTTGTTGTAAGACAGGCCGAACTGGAACCGAGATAAATTAATCGGTTCTTACCAGTATTTTTTGATTTCTAGATTTCATAGTTTGCTGTTTGGTTGTCTAAGAGCCGTTTTACACACGGCAAAGTTTCTTCACGAAATTACTCACGAAATTGTTGCCGAAATATTTCGTAAGTTTACTATTCTTGGTTTCGCTTCTTCCTGTTTGACACGGCAAATAAAAGTCTAGCAAAAGTTTCATGGAAATATTAGTCATACAGTCATACGCAGGCGCAGTTACGTTTTGCCATCAATAATATCAAATCATAACCTCATACTTTGATAAACCAAAACAAATAAAACTTCCGTTTTCTAATTGTTGTTGAATCTTTGTACCCTCCTGCAGTTTCATAAAGTTGAATTTGTTTTTTCCTTCCATAAATAAAGTTTGTTTTTTATTTGCCCAGCTGTTTTTGGGTGCATTACTTTTTCCACCGATGAGCAGTCTATCCTTATCTATTACATAGGAAATTCAATGACACATTCATAGGCTCCACGAAAAAGGAACTGCCTTTTAGTGTGCGCCGAAACTCACGCATATTTTCGGCCACGCCCACAAAAACTATAGAACATTTACTAAAGTTTATTCGTGAAATATTTCGTAAGTTTTTCTTGTCGTGTAAAACAGTAAAAGTTGACTTACGAAATATTTCGGCAACAATTTCGTAAGTATAATTTCGTGAAGAAACTTTGCCGTGTAAAACGGCTCTAAGCCGCTTTTTAGCTGACAATTTTGAGCACGCAATCGAGCTTTTGCGTGTGCAAATGCTTCAAGCGCGTGTTCGTGTTATCTATTTTTTTACCTGGGGCCTTATTCTGTAAGGCTGCGTTCACATTGAAACGCCCGACAAGGTAACTTATTACCGGATAAATGACGTCATGGACGAGTCTACTCGATTTTTATTTTGTTAAGTTAGGGCCCAATTACAGTATATTTGCATCTGCAAATTTGCAGTTCTGCAAATATGGCTGACTTGCATGTGCTCTAATAATTGCTGGAACGAGCAAATTACAGAAAAATTTGCAATTCCGTCGTATTTATCGAGAAAAAGTGTATCGGCGCTACTGATTTACCAGTTTTAAATGTCAAAGTTACCAAAATGATTGCAAGGACCGTTTCAACATGCGCAAATTTGCAGGCGACTTGCAAATGCATTATGCTTCTGTAATACCAATACCAAAAGTCAGACTTGCAGGTTCTGCATTTGTATCTTGGTGTTGCAGAGCTTCTGTAATTTCGTGCTTAATCACCTGATTGCCAACATTCCCAACGCGCAAGTCCGGCAACTTTCATCCATGTGCTTGAGGTGGACGTGATGGAAAGTCGCCCGACAATCCGTGTGTGGCTAAATTCACAAAAATGCTGCAATACCACCGGTGCGGTGATAGATCGAATCACTAATGCATGCTAATGCCAAACCCTGTTTAATTCAACAACACTGTTTTTTCTACCAGTCCAACGGGTTATCTTTCATCAAACTGAAGTCTGAACGCTCAATAGGATATTTCACTCGAAATCGAAAGTGAATGATATTCGGCGCGTCCAACGTTCAAAGCTTAGACGTTCAAAGTGAACGCACCCTGAGTTGAGTTCGGAATGGGATTTTATTTTAGTACAGTGCTAGTGCGGTGTTTGTGTAGTGCAGTGTTATATCACGTGATGAAGGTGTAATCGGCGGTGTAACACCAAATACACCATCACTTTGTAACGAGTAAACGGTGTCCCACCATTTGGACACTAAATCATTTCCAAACGCAAATAAAGTGTACACCAAACTCTTAACCAATTAACGAACGCCACAGTGTCAATACAAGGTGAGTTCGGAATGGTAGAAAGTGTCGACACTTTTCACACTATTGACATTCGGCGTTCGTTAATTGGTAGGAGTGTTTGGTGTACACTTTTTTTGCGTTTGGAAATAATTTAGTGTCCGAATGGTGTGAAAATGGTGAGACACCGTTTACTCGGTACAAAATGATGGTGTATTCGGTGTTACACCGCCGATTACACCTTCGTCACGTGATATAACACTGCACTACACGAACACCGCACTAGCACTGCACTAAAATCTCATTCCGAACCCAACTACGATAGTGTAAAAAGTGTCGACACTTTCTACCATTTCGAACTCATCTTGGGGCAGTCACCTCTTGTCAGTAGTGAGTAGTAATGTCAGTTGTCAGTGTCAGTCGTATTCAATTCATTGATTGTCAAATGTTCCATGTGGCTGTTTTGTGTTCATCTGTGAAAAATTAAAAATATGAGTGAACAATTAGTTGAAAGTGCGAAAAATCTCGATTTAAACCAAAAGGAAAAGGCATGAACCTTTATTTTTTACTATTTACGTTAGGATGCTGAAAGTATTAAGTTTTTCAAGAGCTGCACTGCCTGTAAACCGGCGTAATTTTGCCACATTGGTGTGTAGCATATTGAAATATCTGTTTTCCTAACCCCTCTATCCTGTTTAGTCATCGATTTTACCCGGAAAACTCATTCTGATGCAACTTTGATTATAATAATGTTAAATTTGTTCCTCGATTTGTGCAAATATATTTATTACAAATTGAATTTTTGTTGAATTAAAGTCAAGTAAAGTATTTACTGAAATACCTGTTATTGAAAAACTGTAATTTTCTATGCTAGTGCTCTGAATAATTAAACTCCTGATAATTATTTATATCTAAAATTAGCCTTGTTATATTAGGCCACCAAAATGAAAAAAGAAAAATCCAAATCAAATGCTGCCGCAGGAGATAAATCCACTGTCGGTGAGCTGAAACCTCCACCAGCTTTTATTGAAGAAAGGCTGAATTTGTGGAACAAACTCAAGGCTCAGTATGAAGCAGATTTGGCTGCCAAACCTGAAGCTCCTATAAAAGTAACTTTGCCCGATGGCAAAGTAGTTGATGCGGTTGCATGGAGGACTACTGTGTACGATATTGCTAAAGGAATCAGGTAAGAATTTATTTATTGCTCAACTTATAGGCTTACTACCTATTTGACCTATTCCTTAAACTTTCATACTCGCTTTCATATTTTTCTTTTACAATAATAAAATCTTTATGATCTAAATCTAAATCAAATCGTTGAGATCATCAATGTCATCTTTCCCAAACCAGGTAAACTGGCATATGATCAATTTTAGAAACTCCAGTTTGCTTCCAGGGGATCTTCAAGGGGAGCTCACGGTGTTGCACAATATATTAGTTTTTATGCCTGCATGTGGTGATCCTGCAATATTTTTCTTGATATTGCGTGCTTTGCTTCACTAAGCCAGTAAAGTATTACATTGTTTAACTGGACAATTCGCTTTGCTGTTTTTAAGGTTGCCCTTAAAGTCCAATTACCATCAATATTTACCCAAAAATCCTGCCCTCATATTTCCCAATTATAAGCTGGATTTATGGGGTCAGGGGTGCGATTTTCGAGACCATTCGAGTACATTTCGTACACGAAATTTGTCTGCTCCCCATTTAATTTACATTGCTGTCAGTCAAATTTCGTGTACGAAATGTACTCGAATGGTTTCGAAAATCGCACCCCAGTATCAGTAACAGTAACTTAAAACTTAAGAACAGGTATGCAAATAACCATTTCAGAAGTTTTACTGATAAGTTTGTTAAGTGAATTATAAATGGCTTTACGGTCGGCAGTGTTTCAATATTTTACTATTACTGCTATTGTTACTGATACTGACCTCGATACTGACACTATAAATCCAGCTTTCTATTTTCCTACACTCATAAGTTAAAGTTATAATAAAGTGTAATGCCCCTATTACATCTGTGTATTTTTCATTGTATTTATTCATGTAGTTCAGAGTGTCCACATTATTTTGGTTTTTGTAATGCTGATTATGTGTTCACCCTGAACTCGAGCCCTGAACTACATGAATACACGGAAAAAAACACAGATGTAATGCGGGCATAACAAAGATTAAAATCCGTATTCAAATTTATACTTTATTTATTTTTTATTTATTTATTTATTTATTAAATAATCATGTATACAAATTTATAAATTTTTACATTTGTCATTTATCATAGATACTAATTTATCAATTAAACAATTAAATAAAACACAGTGTCACAACAGTAGATCAAAGTCAGCAGCAACATCCCTATCCAGAAATTCCCTATAATGATAAAAAATCTGGCCTAACAAATATTTCTTAACTACAGACTTGAATCGCTGAGCTGTCAACTCTCTTACAGAGACAGGCAACTTATTATAAAAGACAGGAGCAAAATAAAGTGTTGCATTCCTTGATGTTCCTAGTCTGAGAAAATTAATCCTAATATTGTCGCGATGTCTGGTATCATGATGGTGTGTTTCACCCAGAGCCGCGAAATTATGCAAATTACGGTGCATGTACAGTAGGCAGTCATAAATGTATTGTGATGGTACTGTTAGAATCTGAAAATCACGATAAAACTGTTTGGGGTCATCTCGATATCCGACATGAGCCAGAACTCTCACTGCCCTCCGCTGCAAACCAAACACTCTAGAGGCATGAGCCGAATGTCCCCAGGCTAACAGAGCATAGCAAATGACGGAATGGAGCAGAGCATGGTAGGCCATTAGAGCGACACTCAAATTGGTGGTCCTACACAGATTTCTAAGTACATATATTCCAGATGTAATTTTCTTGGAGATATGGTTTACATGGCACTCGAAAGTAAGTTTGGGGTCAAGCATGACTCCCAGAAATTTTATCTGAGTAGGATTACTGATCTCTTCATCTCGTCTTAAGGTAAAGGTTATATTCTCGGTTTTGGTTTGATTGAGAGAAAGCCCATTGGCAAGAAACCAGTCACCCACACTCTCGGCACAGTCGCTCGCTTCCTCACACAAAGCGTTGAACTCCCCCTTCGCCACCAAGAAGCTGGTATCATCCGCATACAGTGTCACCTCGCTGTGCTGCAGCGCAGATTTTATATCATTTATGTAGATTATGAAAAGCAAAGGTCCTAGTATGGAACCTTGGGGGACCCCATGTAGCATCACCCTACTCTCTGAGCTCTCACCATTGACACTTGTTATCTGTCGCCTATCTGTGAGATAGTTTTGTATGAGACTGCAAGCACACCCGGCAACACCATAATACTTCAGTTTGGCCACAAGAGTCCCATGCGAGACACAGTCGAAGGCTTTGGAGAGGTCGCAAAAGGTGGCTCCCACAAACTTGCCCTCCTCAAAGCCCCCGACTATGGCTTCGCACAGTTTGTTAACTGCCATCACTGTGGACCTTCCCCTTCGAAAACCAAATTGATCTGCAGACAGGAGATTGTTTGTTTCAAAGTATTCACATAGCTGGTTTTTAAGAAGCAATTCAAAAATTTTTGATATCACAGGAATAAGTGAAATTGGTCTATAGTTATTTACAGAGCAGCGATCTCCAGTCTTAAAAATTGGTACAGTTTTACTTATTTTGAAAGCATGAGGATAGGTGCAGTCATTAATACAGGCATTAAACAACCTTGTAAGAGGAGAGATCAGCACATCCTTCATAGATTTAATAAGGGTAATATTAAGGTCATAAATATCTTTACTATGTTTATTCTTCAACCAGTCTATTGCATTCCTAACATCAATATATGTCACCTGTCTAAAAGAGAAGATAAGGTTGGGATCCACAGTACCGGCAATATTTAGGTAAGTATCAAACGGAATAGCCGCCCGCGGCAGGGAATTAACTAACCTGTCCGCAATGTCAGCAAAGAAGTCGTTAAACTCATTTGGTTGAATATCCGGGACAATTGATTTAGATTTCTCTCTGCTAGCATTGATAACATCCCAAGATGCTTTTGCAGTGTTATCTGCATTCCTAATGTAATTTGAATTTGCAGACTTCTTTGCCTCCACAATTGCCCCCCTATAGATACGCCTTGATGCCCTCAACTCACTACGCAGCAGTGGACAGTAAGATTCCTGACACATATCATTCAGCACCTGTATTTCATGCCTCATCACCTGAAGCTGTGGGGTAAACCACTGTACCCCATCTGCCGAGGATTTTTCAGAGCGTCGCTGAACTTCAGGGAATGCAACACCTCTCATAGCTAAAAACTTATCAAAAAACTGATTACATTTATCATTTACAGAAATATCACAATTTAAAAACCCCCAGGTTTCCCCTTCAAGCATATTGTAAAAGAGAGATTTTCCTCGATTGGTTATGGGACGGCAAATACTATTTGTTTTTGGTTTGTATGGTTTTTCAATTAAAAAGTTGACATTCCAAAGAAACTCTATAGCAGAGTGATCTGACAATACAGGGTTAAAAACATTTGATTTAAAATTATTCAGGTAGCTAAAATTTAAAAACAGATTATCAATACAGTGATCTAACCTAGTGCTAGTAAAGATTTGCTGCGCAAAATCGTATGACCCGACAACATCCAAGAAACAATTTTTTTCATTATAATCCCTTTCAAAGTGTATGTTAAAATCGCCTGTAATAATGACATATTTTTTTAAACTAAATATATGATTTAAAACAACATTAATGACATCTACAAACACATTAAAATTTCCATTCCATACCTAACGAGTGATAGATGCTGATGTATAGCTTTTGGTATACAGATAGTTGAATGGGCATGTTATCAAGAATACAAAAACTATACACTAAAACGCAACAATCTTAGAGATAATCTCAAGGATTCTCATTGACAAGAGTATAAAAACTAAAGTGAAGAACTACTGCAAACCCTATTGCAAGATATTGCGATAGTAGTTTAGACTATTGGTATTGTTAAATATTGCGAGCGTATTGTAGACTATTGTGAGAGTATTGCTGACTATTGTGGGAGTATTGCAGACAAATGAAAGAGGTATCGTGGAGCATTGCAAATTATTGTACACTGCTGCAAAGTATTGTGCACTATTGCAAGGCATTGTGAGCCATTGAGAAATTACTGTCGCAATACTATACCCAAAATTTGTACATATATTGTGGCCAGTGAAATACCTCTCGCCCTCTATACTTTTAACTAACATTGAAAACTTTCTAATATTACCTACTCGATTACCTACAACTTTCACATTTGACATTTCAAAGTCAAAGTCAAAAAATGCTTTATTGTCTAAGAACAAAATTCTCGTTGACAAAGCTGTAAAAGGGGGAAAAAAATTATACAAAAATAATTCCAGGGCCTTCTTGGTACTCTATGATTAAAATAATTAAAATAAAAATACAATACAAGGTCAGACTAAAACAATAAAATCATTTAAACAGTCATTAAAACAAAAGATGAAGTCACTTTAAAAATCAACATAAATATAAACATAAATCAACATAAATACAAAAACATGTTCATTCTAAAATATAAAATAAAAAATTTCTGGGTATCCCTTCAAACAGGTGAGATAGGTGTGGGTCCAAATATAGACAATCACCCAGTACATATTATCTGATGCATAATAAGTATACAGTGGGTACCTACATAAAAATATGATAATTGTTGCGCACTAAGTAGTTTTGGCAATTTTTGCCACTCAAATAATGATCATTCTCAAATGATTTTTCAACACATTCTCGAAACAATCTGAAATTAGTGTTTTGTGCACTTCATCACGTAGAGATGGATGGATTTGTTTATCTCAATATTATTATACCTAATTGATGAATCATCATTGAAGTAAAAACAAGGGACCAGGGTAATGTAAAGAAGCTATTGTACCTTTCTTTTTTTATCTATTTTTATATTCCTCAGTCGGCTGTAGACTATTGGGGAGGAATAAGCTATCAAAAAAATAATAATTACCTGCTATCATCCTAACTGCCCTTCAAATCAGAATTTTGGTAAGCTACTTCTAGTTGAGCATGTTTGGTATTGGACTTTAAGTATTTGGCTGTAGATGTTTTCAATAACTTCCTTCCAGGACAACAAATCATGGTTTGATTAAATATTTCTTTTTGGTAATTGGTGTCCCCCGGGGCAGGCTAGGAT